GAGAGAGAGAGAGAGAGAGAGAGAGAGAGAGAGAGAGAGAGAGGGGAGCAGGAGGAGGTAAAAAGAAGAAAGAAAGAACGTACACTTCTCGACTTCGAGGCTGACGCTCACTTGACTGCCCGGCGTGGACGGCGAGTAGCCGACTGCCTCGCAAATATAAGTTCCGGCGTGGTCGAGTTGGATGTTGGGTATCTCCAGACGACCGTTGATGTCCCGGCTGCCGGATGGCAGAGGTAGACCGTTAGCGCGGATCCAACGTACTCTGGCACGTAGGAGACCCTCGTCACGGCATTGGAACACGACCTCGCGACCTGATCAGAGACGGTTTTGCGTGATATAAATTCTACCCGCTCTCGGAGATCGCGCCTCGATCGTTACGGATTATTACGCTCATGGTGCGTCACGCGTCCCATCAGTAGTAGATGAGGAACGGTTCGCAAGCAAGCGCGATTCTCTGCTTCTTGGAGAGTGAAGTGACGCTAATATCGTGTTAATTTGCCTCGTGTAACATTCGAGTCCTTCTTGGCCCTTCGAGCGCACACATCTCGCAGAAGTGACATAAGCTGAATAATTGCCTTTCTCAATCGTGGGATGATATTTTTCTCTATGTGCAAATTTGCACTGCAGTGCGCTCGAAGGGTTAATCACGTTAGTCGATATTACTGGTTACATGTAGGTTACCAGTAGAACATTCCGTGTAAGGGCTAACGAGCGACAGATCTGTCTAACAATAAGAAGATAACTTTGGAGGAAGATAGAAAGAACTCTGTTAAATGCGATGGATGCTTGACAATGAGGATTATTCAGTATCAAACGGTAACAGAAGTTCGTCAATGGCTTTGCAGCTTACAATCTATGTTTTAGTTTAAGCTGCAAGTGGCGCCACTTATCATGCGTGATTACGTCTGCATGCATGTGGCTTCGAAAATATTGAATTGTTGATGAATCGTCGTTATTAAAATTAAAAGAATGAAGTTACGTCGTTTTACAAGCGAATAAGTGATTTTTCTAAAATTCTGCTATTGTAATTTATACACGTGCAAAAATGGTGCAATACCGTATTGGTGCGTTATAACATACAATGTTAATAATCACAAGATTTGTTGAAAGGAAATCTTCTTCAAGGTAAATCCGAACTGTCGCACATTCTATTGTCAATCTCGCACGAAGTGCGAGTTTCATAGCAGCTCAATGAGCTGTAAAATTGCGTGTGTGTACGTCGACGCGCGTACACGCACGCGATAAACAAAGTACCTGTCACATGTATAATATTACGAATTTTGCGTATTCAATGATTCATGAAGATTATTTTAGCTCACAGCATGATTTTTACAGCTTATATCTTTTGAGAAGTCTTACCTTGCTTCGCCGGGTCTGGCCAAGGCAAGAAAGAAAAAGATAACAGACACATGTATTAATTAATTTTCTTCTCGGATACGCCAGTTTATCGGCAACGTGGCACTTATTACTTATCATCATTATATTATATTACGCAAAAATCTTGTATTTCGGTATATTGCCGATTGACAAAGTATTCCGATCATCGATCGTTGAATGTTTGCAACAAATGTATACTGTGCATCATCTAACCGAACACCTCGTACGTCATTTACGGACAAAAGCGATGGTACTTACTCTCTTTGATCACTTGTTCGCTGGGGTAAGTCTTCAGCCTGAGATCGGACCCGCCGTCGGTCGGACCTACGCACGAATGCAAATAACAAGTTTATAATCAGGGGAGCAATCGTGGGGTGGTCATGACGAGCGATTAATCAGTGCGCAAAATCTACTCGAGTCGCGTCGTCAGTTTTGTTAATTCGTGATATTTAGCCCACACCTCTGCGCGTTTCTCGTCTAAGGGGAAACGTAATCCTATTTTAGGGAGTTCGCAGCCGTTAGTTCAGTTTAGAAGATACATGTACAGAGTATAGCGTGAGGTGTAACACTACGATGCGATACGGAAGAGAGAGAGAGAGAGAGAGAGAGAGAGTGAGAGAAAGAGAGTTTGTTATCTCTTATTATTTATCGTAGAGTGGAATACTTGTTATCCGCGGATTAAAAGTTATCAGGCAGAGAGGCGGAATCGTAATTCGGGTGATTCGCGAAGTGCAGCGGAGTCTTGTTTCCACGCATCGTTTCTATGGCAAATGGTAATGCCTTTCCAGCGTTACATGAAACGTTACGACGTTACGTTACGTTGCGGATATTACGTTACGGTGTATCTACAAGGTATTATTGATAAGGCGTGTGAGAGACGGCGTGTGTTATCGGCGCGTTATTATCGGCCGGCGTCCCCAGCGGGAATACCCTCATTCGCACGCTAACTGAGCGTCGGGAACTCACGCTTCTCGTAACTGCAACCGATCTCGTCGGACATGTCTCTAGGACAGTCGAGTTTTCTGTCGCAACGCTGATGCGCCGGTATGCAGTGACCGTCGTTGCACTGCCACTCGTGCGACCGGCAACGACTGTGATTTCTCTGCAACGCCCGATAATCGCAGTCCAACTCGTCGCTATCGTCGTCCGGGCAATCGATTCGTCGATCGCAACGTTGATGGCGTGGCACGCAATCGCCACTCTTGCACCTCCACTCCTCGTCGGTGCACCGCAGCCGGTGATCTTCGGTCACGTCGTTAAATACGTGTCATTATTACCGTACTTTCGAGCGCGAGTCGCTTAACGTACGCCGAGGAGGTGAAGAAGCGAGACCAGGTCTCTCCTTGGAACGGCCGATTAATAAGTCGAGGTTACCACTCGCGCAGATATCCGAGATAGAATGTCAACGTTTCAGATCGACCTCGCGCCCGACCGCGCTGCTGTTCGCGACGCCAATCGAAACGCCGATCGCGTCGTCTGCGTTACGCGAATTCGCGCGGTACCGTTTACTTACCGCAGTTCTCCTCGTCCGAGCCGTCCGTGCACTCTGGAATTCCGTTGCAGACGGAAGAGTGCGGCACGCAGCTTCTGTCTGAGATGCACATGAACTGGCTTGCCGCACAATGACCCGTCCCTGGTGGTGACTCTGTTCACGAGGCAGAAACAGAGACGTGAAGCAGAGTGGAGAAATCGTTTCGACAGGCCGCAGCCGCTTTCCATCTCCTTTGCACTTTTACAGGAGTCCCGGACACGTACCTCTAATCCTGAACATTCTTATTGTTCTTTAAATGCGAATATTTAAATCTTGAACATAGAAAATATATGTATATATATTTTATATTAAAAATTAAAATATTCGTATTTAAAGACTAAAACAATAAGGGTGTCCAGAAATAGGCGCGTATCCGGTCATTGGTACTTTTATCTTGTATCTCCAAAAGTCAAACATTTATATTTATTGATGTCTCTATTGATAATAGTTTACCTAGATTTATATACTGATATTTATTATATGTTTTATGCCTATCTACTTTCAGGCACTTTTATAATAAGCTTTATTTCGCGTGTAAAAAGTTATTTACCCGTTCAACAAGTACATAAATGGTTGAGAAATCAATAAATAATTCCAGAATCGCGAATCATACCGAAACTACGTCAAGTCGCGTGTAAAATATAAACATGGCAACGTTTCGCTATATAGTACGATTATTCTTTTGCAGGTACTTACCGCATTCCTCAGGTTCGTCGGAGCCGTCGGCGCACTCGATGTACCCGTTGCATCTCTGATCAGCATTGATGCAGTCCCCGTTGGCACACTGGAACTGGTCTCGCGTGCATCCTAGAACGAGAGCCGCGCATTGTACATCGGTAGGAAGAGCGGTAAGTCGTCTGTCCGTTTAATAACGATATAGATGAGACACAAAATACATGACATATAAAATGTCAACCACGGAGCCATCATATACGTCCGTCATCACAATCTAAACAGTGATCTAACGTTGAGAAAGAGAGAGATATGTATACATATATATGTATAAATACGATGAAGGTAAAGATATCTCATGACGTTACCTAGAAAAGACTGTTAAATGTGAAGTCTAGTATCTAGACTAGTCGATATTATCGGGGGAAATCAGTTCACACAGCAGTCACGGCGAGCTAGAAGTGCCACTGACACGTGTGTTACGTGGGACACATATCAATTTAATACGGTGCATATTTCTCCGTTTTACTGTGTGCACTAATCATCGTCATCTACAAACACCTATACGTATGTAATCCATCATTCAAAATAACGTGGACTCAAGAGAGGAAAGACGCTTACGATTCCTTTCGTTTCGGCTCGCCGCGATCTCGTCAAACCCGATTCGCGAATATCGACGCATTCGTACGTGCATTCGTATCTAAACGGCGGCGAGAGGTCAAAATAGCTGTCAATTTACTAAAGTATCTTTCCTTCCAAGTTGTAATGCAAACCTTGCTTGCACACAACTCCTCTACAGATAAAAGTGTACTTTCCTCATACTGTGCATGCCATAATAGGATTTATGCCAAACCTTCTACCTACGAGAAAAAGAAATGATCTAAATTTTACGCCAGGCAAAGATGCACTATTGTTTACAGGGATGCGCCGGATAATATCAGACTGCGATGTGTAAATCTCATAAATATAATCAAGTCTCTACTCGAACAACCTACACATCTTTCTATTCAGCTGCTAACACAGATTGGCAGAAATAGGTATAGATCTAAGAGAATCTGGTGTATGTGGAGGAATTTCGGAATATCTCGCGGACAAAAGCTTCGTTTTATCTCTGAGGTGCGATCAATTTTCTAAATAAAATATCGCGAAGAAATAGTGACCATAAAAGTTCAACTATTAAACGATATTTTTTTTGCTTTATTTTTAACAGTACTTATTAAAAATAAAGAAACAATCGCGTTGTAGCGTAATAAAATCAGTATCGCCTAATGGATGAATAATTGTCTCGCGGGACAAAAAAAGGTCGTCGCGAAATAGTTCAGTATTACTCAGATGTGACGTTAACGTTCACACTCGTGAACGCATAAGTACGTGAATCGTCCGGATTTCAAGATGGCGGTTTGTTTCTCGACATTAGATTATTGTAATTAAGGGAAAAGGGTCTCTTGATTTTATATATAAAGAGAACGGGGAGGAGGGGGACTACACGTGAGAGACCTCGTCACCAGATTTTCGAGATCTACAAATAATCTAACCGAAGCAGTACTGTTCGTCGGTAAAGTCGCGGCAATCGTAGAAATGGTCGCAGTGGTGGGTTTCGGGGATGCAAGTGCCGTCGGCGCAAACAAAATCATCCGGAGCACAACTCCTCGGCGTGCTCAGATTTGTCGGCGGCACATCAGCATTTGCATCTGTATCTGGGCTGTAAGCCTCGTTTTCCGGATTCGCACCGGCTACCCCCGTCTCTGGACGCCCCCCCGAGGAGGCTCTATCCGAGGCGTCTACACCTAGAAGTAACTCAATCTGAGCTGGGGTGCTCGTGTCGTGTCGTGTCGTGTGTGTGTGTGTGTGTGTGTGTGTGTGTGTGTGTGTGTGTGTGTACGTGTGTGCTGTGGCAGCGCGCGTTCACAACGACACGCATCGTGTGAGAAGTCTCGAGGACATGGGAAAGTGTCTTCTCGACAGGATCGTACGCGTAATCAGGACTTAAAACGAGCTCGGACACACGATAGTCCCCAAAGACGAGGCTTGTAGTCGCGTCTAGTTAAGTTTCACACACGGGCTGAGCACAATCTCGCCCCGGCATAAATCGCATCCGAGGTATCGTCTTTCCTCCCACACTCATCTCCGACCGAACCATCTTCTTCTTCGCACTGATTGCAAAGTAAGGCCGGCGATACGGCTCGTGAAACTTAATAGTTCAAAAGCAACAATACGCGATTAGACGACGGCACGAAGGCGATATACGTTGCATATTATAAACTCCGCAACCACAAGGAGGTGTTTACTCAACGCTACACAAGCAATAGCGATGTAAGGCTCAGCGAGGAAGCACCGCGGCGTCGCCTTGTATGCTCGAATCACATTCTTGAGGTCGCTTAAGTCTTGCGTTACGAGTGCGTCCTGACAGCTGAGTCATACCGAGAGCGTGTGAAAGAGAGGGGAAAAAAGAGTTAACCAACGCGTCGGAGTACGATTCCTTATCTATCTTCTGAGTACTTTATCAATCGAGATCGTTCCGGGCCCCTAAATCAACGTTAGCTCTTTATAACGAAGATGACAGGCATATTCGCGAGCGCCGATTCCGCGGGGTTGACTCACCTCGACGACATGTGCTCTCGTCCTCGTCGTGCGGACAGTCCGCATGGCCGTCGCACACCGCCGACTGAGATATGCAGCTGCCGTCGTTGCAGGTGAAGCTGTCATGGGGGCATTGCTTCGTATCGACGCCCTCGTTGATATCCGCTGCAAAGCCGAAACGACGACACACGGTTACGACAACGAAGTGTCATCAAGCGGACAGAGATTGGGCCGACCGATTGGCGAACGCCACTCGACAAAAACGTTCTTCCTCCAATCGCATTTTCCGGGTTTTCGTTAGGGTTCGATATAATTAAACTATACAGGGTGTCTGACGATTTATAACGCACCCGTTGTGTGCAGGTGAAACTCATCAAACTGGACACAAGGTTCCTCTATCATCTTGTAGACAAGAGAAAAATTCAATTTCATTTCGTAAATTCTTCTTCTTCTTGAAGTGAAAACGACGCAAAAAAGTCTCATGCAACAATGACAATCTTTAATTTCAGTATTACGAATATTATCGCGTTATATACGAAGCTATATGAAACTCGACGAAGTAGACCATGACGTTGAAGCTAAACTAAAAATTAAATTAAACCGAAACTAAGATTAAACGAGGATTGAGCCGGGCTTATAGTTGAATTAAAAACAAGCCCTTATTTCAAAGATTCACAGTCGACTTTTGTTAAATCAGAAAACATCGGATGACTATTCCGAGTGTGGCGTCTTTAATAATTTCGGATAAGTTAATGGACAGAGATGAGCCAAGCGTTAAAGATTTATATTCCGTGAATATTTTCGTTTTATTTCGCGATACGGGCGACTCGTAGCAGCATTTTATGATGTCGCCTCGAAGCGTGATAAGACGTGTGTTTTGGAAAATCCTGGAAATAAAAGGCGAAAAGAGAAGCGTGTGTATTTAAAGATATCCTTACGGCAATCTCGCTCGTCAGTAGCGTCATGGCAGTCGATATTGTGGTCGCAGAAGAACTTCTTATTGATGCAGACACCGTTGCCGCAGGGCAATTGATTCTCCGGGCATTCTGCAAACACCAATCGGCCCCGTTAATTTGCAGGTAAAGGCGTCGCGCGAGAAGGCCGGACATACGGTGTACATGTAGATCCTCCGTTAACGGTACGAAACGGCGATGCGCACGGTCGCCCCACGGCAATTGGATCACTATATCCGCGGATGACTATTCTTGTATCTCAACGGGTCATCGGCTCGAGGTCACGGGGGAGGGAGACGCTCGTACGTGCCAGCCGGAAAAAATTGCGAACGGCTTCGACGTAACGTGCGGCTCTCACCCTCGCGAGGAAATTAGATGTGCGAGGCTGACCAAGTGCCTTCGATAATTATCGATCGATAAGAGGGATCCCGCGAGAGAGGTGCTTCCGCGACGGACGTGGGGCGATAAGAGAGAGGGAAAGAGAGAGTGAGAGAGAGAGAGTGAGAGAGAGAAAGAGAGCGCGCGCGCCGGTGCGGCTCGTCAAGTGAGCGTCAAATGTGCGCATTGCCGTGTGTCGTACCTGAAGAAGAAACGTGGGAGACGACGGCCGCGATGTCGCGTGCGCGCACTCAACTTGATTAATTAATAAATTGAAAGACCGCCGGCGAAGGAAATTTTAAGCCGCGGTTATCTTGGCCAATTCACTGCGAATCTGATCGCGAGGTTGCACGGAATCCTCCCCATCCCGGTGGTGGCGGTTTCTCGCACAAATATATATTGCTTTTACTATTAAACTGTTTTCTCGCGCGCGCCCGCGCGCGTTTGAACTGCGTTTCGCGTGAATTTTGTCCGCCCTCTCTCTATGTTTTATTTTTTCGATTTTTTTTTTTATTAAACGCGGGTCAACTTAGTTTCTCACAAACGCGGGGAGGGGACGGAACATCATGCGAAACGTGACATTTACAAAAGTTCGCGTTACGTCAGTCGCGAGTGTACGCGGTGTACGCAACAACAGAGCGCGGTTTGTGCACGCGTCAACGCGTGGCGTGGAAAATTGCGGAGGTGTAAATAACCGGAGGTAAAAAGGGTATCATGGAAACGTATATATAAAATCGTATAAACAGGTGTAAGGTATATGTATATTACAGGTAAATGCGCCATTCAAAGGTCAGGCAACCTGTGCTGAAAATAGATGGACAATAGATGGTAAACAGGCGGTTAGAAAGAAAGAGAAAGAGAGAAAGAGAGAGAGAGAGAGAGAGAGAGAGAGAGAGAGAGAGTAAGGCAAGTAGAAAAAGACAGAAAAAGAGAGAAACAAAGAGAAAAGTAAAGAACGGATCGAGAGTAGAGTTATTTCGATCCAGTCGATCCAATCTAATCGATGCAAAATGCATGTCAAGAAAATCATCGAGCTTATAACCAAGATATATGTCATATATACGCAAAGTACAATTGTTGAGAATCAGATGTCCAAATCAAGGCACAAACAGTCATAAGAAACAAGACACAATGAAATAGACAATGATAACACGCGAGAGACGGTATGATTATACATTAGCATACAAGTTGCAGTAAACGATATGTCCGTAGCTGGACATATCGAGTTATAATTATTATATCTTGTCTCTTGTATCTCTTACTATCGTATCTCATTGTGTCTAAACGCTAAGGTACAACGAGATATGTAGATGATGCTGAAACATAGAAAGAGAGAGAAAGAGAGATTGTTGACCAGGTGTAAAAGTGAATGAATTAAAGGCAGTCGATAAAAATTCACTTAGCAAAATCATGACTGTCCGGTCCTCGAGGTCGGAATTTGACTGCGCGGTTGTTAAATTCGTTCCTCTTACTGCTCCGTTTTCTTCTAATTACTGTCAATCTCGCGGGATAAAACTGGAAATCAACAAACGAAAAACAAAACAGGAAGGGAAAAGAGAACTTTCACGCGAATGAAGATGTGTCAAAATGAATTTCTTCTTGCATTACATTTGTCGATCGGTTATGTCGTCATACATTCGCAGAAAAAACATGACATGGTGATGGCAACTATACAAGTGACAACTGCACGAGTTCTGTAGAATGATAACGCATATAGTTCAATAAATTATTTTGTAGTTATTGCTTCAGCTATTGTTTATTGGTAGAGTTTTATTTGCAATAACTACAAAGTAGTTTATTAAACTATGTACAAGGCTAAAGCACATAACTGGAATCACCTCGTTAACGCCGTAAATATTGATTTTAACGAAAGTTGATCCAAATGTATATTATATGACTCGAAGCGGGTCGTGCAATGCATCATTAAAATTGTTTTTGTTGGTTGTAGTTTTTTCTCAAGATTTTAAGATCAGCATCTTAAAATTTGTTTAAATGAATTTTTTAAATGAAAGTAAATTTTTATTCTATATATAACAGAAGTCATAGATCATATTAAAACAAATTCAATTGTGTTAAGCAACATGACTCTTTAAACAACCCTATCAGATTTATGGAATTTTGAATGTAATAATTCATCTCATTAAGGTTCCAAAATGAACTGGTTCCAACGTTATATGCTTCACTCTGTATTCACACATTAATTCTACGTGCAAAACCTGTGTTCATCTATATAGTTGTGTATCATCGTGCCTTTTTTGTAGAGGACGGAGCGGAGTCTAAGATGGAGTCCGAACATTTCGAGAGCAATCTCCGAGCATTCTCGACGATCGGCTATTGAGTTTCGCAACGATGAATTCCCGCTCGATCGATTTTAATTCATCCAATTTTTACAGGGTCGTTCTCCGAGGTGACTACGACAAGTGGTGCCGCGACGTCGGTATTCGAGTTAATGGCAGTCAACGTCCGGCCGCGCGAAACGTGCCCGAACGGTCGATACAGCGCGGCGAAATGAGATTAACAGCTTCCGCGTGCGTGTGCACGCGCCTCCGCGTTCGTATTAGTTACACGGCCCTCTTAATTGCCAACTTGAATACCGACGCGCCTCGCGGAAAGTCGTTCGTTCGTGCGGCTGCATTCGCGCCGTTCGTTGCAGTCAAGTTGTTGCACGGCACCGCCGTGGCTGCAGACCCGCCGACGCGCCGCCGCGTGTTGCCTGTGTTATTTACAGACGTGTCCCGAGATCGACATCTCGCATGAATCATTCGTAGAAGTCGCTCGGTATCGACACGGTCCCATCTTAGAATTGACACCAACCACGGCTAACGCGGCTGGGGTCTTAGCCGGCGGAGTTTACACGCTGCATCTTTCGCCGCGTCTTGCCGGTGCAAGTCTGTTTACGCAGGCAAGGTGTATGCCAAAGATAAAGCATATAAACCTCCTCCGTCGGAGACGAAGCTTATGGTCTTCGTCTCGTGATAACGTATGCAGGGTGGAGACGGAGAAGTCAACCTCGAGAAAGATGACAGTAGATGTCGATGGCGAACAAAAAGACAGAGAGAGAGAGAGAGAGAGG